CAAACAGTGTCATTTATTTTATTTTATTTAGCGTATGGATAATTACAATACGATAAAAGTAATATTTAGATAATAATTATGTTCAGTGTTCAGAAACAGTGTCATGACATTGAAGAACTTAAAAAAAGATTTTTTAAAAGATTAAACGACACGTTTAACATGTATAAAAAAGTGAAAGAAGCGGCTGGTATCTTCAATAAGAAACAAACTGCATTGCTACAAGATGAAAATGGTAAAGTAATATTTGAAGTAGAGGTTAAACTTAAAGAATGGGAAAATTACATCACCAACCTATTCGAAGACGATAGGAGTAGTTCACCTCCCGATACTACTAACTGCGACGAACCCCAAATAACACGCTCTGAAGTTATAAAATCCATACAATCATCAAAAGATGGCAGAGTAACTGCTCCTGATAAAATTACAACTGTAATATATAAGCTTATAAATGATAGCAATGTTTTAGAGGCTATAACTTCGTTTTTCAATACTATTTATACAAGCGGACAACTATCTAATGGTTTCTTTAATTCACTGTTTATAGCTCTACCTAAGAAGACAACAGCAAAAACCTGTTCTGATTATAGAACCAGCAGTTTGTTAAGCCACTTATTAAAATTTTTTCTGAAGATAATACATGGTCGTATCTACAAAAAATGCGAGGAATACTTAGATAATACTCAGTTTGGTTTCCGTAACGGGTTTGGAACGAGAGAGGCACTGTTTGTAATGAAAGTACTTGCTCAAATATGTCGTGATATATCTGTAGACATATACTGTTGTTTTATTGATTTACAAAAGGCATTTGATTGTGTTGAGCACTCTATATTGATCGAAGCTCTAAAAGACATTTACTTGTACGGCAGAGATGTTCGAATAATTGCAAATTTATATTGGAGTCAAACAACATCAGTTTTAGTAGATAATGTGTAATCACAGGCTCTCAATATTAAAAGAGAAGTACGACAGGGATGCCTTTTGTCACCCCTGCTTTTAACCGTTTACTCCGAAAGAATTTTCAGAAAAGCACTTTCTAAAAAACAAGAAGGAATACTTGTGAACGGCGAAGTCATCAATAATTTGCGATATGCGGACGATACAGTACTCCTAGCTTCTAGTCAAGAAGATCTGCAAACATTACTTCATAGTGTCGTTGAGAGTTGTGGGGAGGCAGGTCTGGATCTGAACATACGGAAAACCAAAATAATCGTAATAAATAAACAACAGCATATAAATCCCTCTATATATGTAAATAATACCAAACTTGAGCAAGTTGATAAAATCGTTTACCTTGGACAGCAATTAAACTGTAACGCAGAAAGTCACGGCGAAATTAGATTAAGGATAGAGCAGGCTAGAGCTGCTTTTAAAAGGATGTCCAAGGTGTTATGTAACAGAGACTTAAAATTGGCATTGAGGATCCGCCTACTTCGCTGCTACGTGTTCCCGGTCTTACTTTATGGTGTCGTCCTGGACTGTGAATAAAATCGATCCAAATCGCCTTGAGGCTTTTGAAATGTGCTGCTATAGAAGAATTTTAAAAGTTTCCTGGGTGGAGAAGATTTGAAACTTTACAATACTAGAACGTCTCAGCAAGACTACTGAGATCATAAAACGTATCAAGCAGAGAAAGCTGAAGTATTTCGGACATGTAATGAGAGGTCCCAAATATAGCTTGCTATAAAATATCATGCAAGGAAAAATAGCAAGCAAACGCAGTCCAGGACGAAGAAGAACCTCATGGTTAAAGAACTTACGAGATTGGTATGGTGTTGATATAAGCATGCTATTTAGGGTGGCAGTGAATAAAATTAAGATAGCTGTATTTGTAACAAACGTTCTGAAAAGACATGGTACACGAAGAAGAAGAATTATGTTTTTTGTAGTAGAAATTATAAGAAGGAGTAATAGAATAATGTGTAAAGTGCAATTTGTACTTAAATGTTGTGTGAATATGATCTTTAAGTTAGGCTAAGTAAGAATGTACGACAAGATTTCTATAATTAGGTAATATACTAAGGGCCGATTGTTCGAACGCTAATAAAAACTTAATTGTAATAAAATATTTAACTAAAATCAAATACGTCACAGTTTGAGGTTATGTTTACTGATTTACTTAATTCAATTTTATTATTTTGCGTTTTAATTTAAAATAAACCATAATTAAACTCTTTCTCATGTTACATGGCTATCTCATATTTTTAGTATTTTTAGATCCTGCTGGTCCACTCTACATCCTACTAGTTGTTAGGTTTGTATCCTTAGGTTTATATCGTAGTCTATTAACTCTCTTAATATTCTGTTGGAATGATTTCTGAGGTCATTGAAAATCTCGTATGCTCTCTTGTTCATTGTTCGTAGGATCTTCTTTTAGTTTAAGTCTCTATATACGTACCTATATATACGGCACGTATACGGCACTGTTAAATCCTTAATACCTTGGATTTGTAGACCGTTTGGTTTACATGTTTTGTAAACGTTAGCTTTTTGTCAAGCGTTATGCCTAGGTATTGTGCTTTACTGGTTCATTCTATTGGAGTGTTGAGTAACGTTATCTCTCTACTTAGATATTGTTTCGAAGAAGGATTCTTTATTCCAAGGCTATAGATTCAGTCAGTTTTATACTTTGGCTTGCTACTTATGTCGCAGAAAATAGACAGTTATTTTACAGACATTCCATTGGAGGAGAGAGTGGTAAAAGGAGATGATTTTTTTAAGTCAACTTATGACAGGCAAAAATTTACAAAATCACTTTCAACTACACTTGAGTGCAAAATAATCGACCCAAAAGCGATATTTGAGACTACACCTTTTGTTTTAATGTAAGAAGTATTAAAATAACAAGATGTAATGTGCAAACAGTAACTTTATTATTGAACTTACAAAAACTGCTATTTCATTATTTGGAAGACGCATTATAAAAACAATATGCAATACGAACAGAGTTTCTGAAATATTCATCATTCGAACTATCCCAAGAAAGACGTAATGACCAGAGAAATCATCAATTACAAAATAATTTTTTTTGTATTTCAGTATCTGATATTACCACCCCTATTCTTAATTACACTTTCCAATCGATTTCGCATGGATCGGATGACTTTTCTAATAAATTCTTAAGGCGTTGCTTCCCATTCATCATTAAGCGCAGCTCTCAATTCCATTATGATGCTTGGTACATGATTCCTGCTTCGGACCCTTCATTTAAGCTCATCCTAAACATGCTCAATGGATTTATGTCCGGACTCAACGCAGGCCAATTTATTGTAGGTATACCGATCTGTCAGATAGATGGTGGTGACTCGTGCGGTATGGCATCGTGCATTATCATGCAATAAAATAAAGGCATTACCAATAAATCCTGCGTATAAAACCACATGTTCCTTCAAAATATCTCTGATGTGACGATCCGCCCTTAAACCTCCTCCACGTCCTCCATCAGGCACGAAAACCAGCTCGGTTTTCCCATCCATGGAAATACCTGGCCAAAACATACAAGAACCACCTCCATATGACACAATTTTTCGTATACAACATTGAGCAAATCATTTCCTGGCCTTCTATGGAATCGACGCCTCTTGTCGTTGCGATGTAGGCAGATCCTACTTTCGGAGAAATAATACCTGACTCCATTGATAGTCGTCCCAATCCAGATGTTCGCGAGCTAATTCTAGTCGTCTTTGCTTCTGGGCTGCAGTTAGATTGGTACCAGTAGCTGCCCTTTTTGGTATCAGGTTGGCTGCTTTTAGTCTCCTTCTGACTGTCCAAATGCTGGTAACCACACCTGGGACCTCTCTAAGCTCTTCTTCGAGATTAGCACCTGTCAAATGTCGATTTCTCAGATATTTAGATACAAGAAATCGATCATCTCTCTCTGTTGTTATTCGTTTACGACCTCCTCCTTGTCGGCGGACATAATCACCAGTAACTTGGTACCGACGATACACTCGGGACACAGCAGATTGGGTTAAATTTAGTCGATTTGCCACGGCTCTCTGGCTCAGGTCTTCTCTCAATAATGCTACTGCTTGAGCTGCTTTGACGTAGTATCCATTTGTTATGAAGTTGCGAACCTAATTGATTGATGTATTAGTGGGTTACTATGGAAATTGATGGTTACGATGTTACCCACATGTTTTAAGTGGGTGCGTGTCGATTTCAATTGGTCAAATTATGACCCCCTCTCTACGTGTTGCAATATTTATTTGTAATACGTCACCCAATTTACCAAAAATCAAAACTTTTTTTAAACTCAATAATGAGGTTAATAATTGTACACTAAATATTTTTAAATTAACACCTTTTTTGATTAAAACAGAAGACGTACTTTCGCAAAATAATTTTGAGTCGATTTTTTGCACTCAAGTGCAGATTATTTCATGACAAAAAAGAAGATATAAATGAATGTAAGGAATAAAAAGTAGTAGATAGTAAGACTGTGAGCCATGAACTTAAGTTGCTTGTGCTGCACAGTGAAAAGCAAAATCTTTTTATCTAGCAAATCTAACAACTATTATTAGGACAGGTATGAAAGAGACTGATCAATTTCATGTGCAAGTAAGACTGCATTAGGCTAAATACTTAGCTCTTCTTTATTTAAATAATTAATGTTGTCTCTTTTTTTAAGTTCGGTTCCTATCGACGATTGGAAATGACTAGATACAGAGAAAGGATAAAAATCCCTGGTGCTTAATGTATGCTGATGATATACTATTATTAGAAAATACTGAAATAAATTTAGAAAAAAAGCTAAAATAGTAAATGAAAGCTCTTGAATAAAAAAATTTACGACTTAGTGGGACACAACACAGAATCTGAAAGTACATTTAAACATGGAGTAACCAGTATAAATAAAATGGTGAAATGTTTGTAAAAGTAATAGTTTTAAGCACCGAAAATCGGTATTATATAGTCATTTTATTGTTTTTAAGACCAGATAATTAATATATGAATATAAATAGAAAAAATACTACAGATTTAATAATATTGGATGCACTTACATAAAACCGTATAGGATTTCCTAACTACTTTTTTACTAAATATTTTCTTCCTTAGTAGCTCGTCAGCGACATATCCCAGGATAAGCCCAAATAACATTCGCATTAAGGGAGGTAGCGCTGATAGACCACCAGCTTGACTGAGGTCAAAGCCTATGACGTCTGATATGAACTTCGGAATCAAAGTCAGCTGCAAGTAAAGGCCCCATTCATTGCCAAAATGGCAGAGCATCAACATCCAATATGGAAAACTTTTAAAGATGTCCTTATATGGAGCTACCACCTAAAATTAAATAAAAACAATGATACTGGTAAGGGTAAGCTCGAGCCAATCTAAAACCACAGAATAATAAACAATCAGAATGCCCACTCTCATATGCCGCCTTTGAAGTTTTTCAGCACGCGCGCCATGTTTTAGAAGGAAACACATAACACAGGCATATGATTTGTGAGGTTATGTAATTGTTTATATTTATGTTTAATTATATTATATTTATGTTATTATATTTAACAATGTTAATATAATTGTATAGTAAGTCTATGATTGCCGTAAGTCAATTAAACCGGGTTAATTTTTCTATACACACCACATACACATGGTTCCCTTTAAAATCCCTTTAAAACATAGCGGAACGTCTGCGCGAATGAGATGCGCGTACTTAATTTTCCATGGAGAGTGGGCATTCTGATTGTTTATTATTCTGTGCTAAAACTATGACTAGTAACTCTTTAGTACTCCACGTAAGACATACTAGGAGATTAAAAATATGCAATTTAAAATGAATCGAGAATTTTTAACTCTGGTTATACCGCAGAGTAATAAAAATATCATAGAATGATAAAATTACAAACAGAGAAGTAATGGGGAGGATTGGTAAAGAAGCGGAACTAATCATAACCATGAGTAAAACAAGAAAACTGGAATACCAAGGTCACATGCATTCGACGTAGCCCATATAACGGTTGCATCTCGAGACAATGATATATGTGTTTTTGAATGTTCCGGATGTATTGACAGGATAAGAGATCGAGCTGTCAATACAAGCGAAATACAGGTGGACTATTCCAGATTATTCTAGTACATAGCAACTTGTATATATAAGCAGCGCTATTATGAGTTAAGTTAGTTGATAATATATTATCGTACTGTAAACTAAATAAATATATTTACATAAATTAGAACCGCTCGTTTTATTGAAACAAGCTATAGTTGGTGTCAAGGTGTGATATAATTTAAAAATAAATTCAGCAGTGACTTTTGAAAAAGAGTTTTAAACTTTTGAAAAGTACTTTTCGTCGTGAACATCTGCGTAGTTTGGTAGTGATCTTGGTAAGAAAGAACATTTAAAAAACGCGATGAAGACTGCAGCGGGTCCAAGAAGATCCTCCAAGAATAACTGAAGAATGTTCTCAACAAGAATGGAGATGACCCACAGACATTCCAGTTTCAATCACAGAAGAAGCAGCTTAAATAAAAATAATTGATGGAAAATTCGAAAATGTTTCTCAAATGATTGAAGAAACTTCTAGAAAGAATAACAAGAGATTCGATAAAAAGTCTCAAGTAATTAAAGAAGCAGCTAAAAAAAAGAGCTACAACGACTAATAGATAAAATAAACACTGAAGGAGAACGACTGGGCTTGAATAATATAGATAAGTCGAAAGTAATGGTGGTTAGTAGAACACGAAATATCCTATTAAATATAAGAGTTAAAAATAAGAACATCCAAAAGGTCCCCAAGTTCAGATATCTCGGTAGTTAGATAACTTAAGTTTTAGATCCAGACATAGAGATACGTAGCAGGATTGAGCAAGCCAGAACAGCATTTACTAATATGAAAACCTTGCTAAGTAACAGCAGCCTTAACTTAACGCTTCTATATCGCTTTGTAAAATGTTACATTTACTCCATATTGCTATACGGTGTAGAAACCTGGACCATAAAGGCCAATGTGATGAACCGATTGGAGGCCTTTGAAATGTGGGTATTTAAAAGACTACTTAAAATTCCCTGGACAGATCACACAACAAATGTCGAAGTATTAAATCGAATGGGCAGAGAACGAGAATTGCTGCCAATAATAAAAAGAAGAAAAACTGCTTATCTGGGTCATATATTTCGAAATTTCAAGTACCAATTCTTAAAGCTTATTATGGACAGGAAGATAGAAGGAAGACGGGGCATCGGAAAAAAGAAATACTCATGGCTTAAACACATAAGGAATTGGACAAACCTCGATGCTCATGCACTCTTTAGAGCCACACAAGATCAAGAGGAGTATGCCAGAATTGTCGCCAACATCCACTAATTGGATAGAGCACTATAAGAAGAAGATACTTCACAACGTCGTCGAGGCTAGTCTCCCAAACTGCAAAGACCATAAAGGTCCGCACGAAATTAAAAAGAAAATAAATGAAATAATATACCGAAGTAAAAATTTGCCGAAAGGTAAACCAAAAGTAGTTCACATAAATCGTCTTGCACTGCTGGCTCAAATGAAACAGAAGAAGCATGAACATTTTAACATAATATTGAAGATGACCGGCAACCAAGCTTTAATTAATTTATGTGAAATTACGCAGAGAGAAAAAGTGATAGATTTGGCGTAACCACAAAAGTTCCGCAGGAACTTTTTAGTGTTCCGCATAACGTCACTCTAGCACACTGTGTTGCCAAAGATCTTAAGATGACTAAAGGAATCTCGTCCGTATTCTATAAAAAGTTAGGTCGTTTCGGCGAGTTAAAAAATCAGCAGCCTAAAATTGGATGAGTACTGAGATAAGAAGATGGTCCTCGATCTTTGGTTTATATGATGACCAGGACGTCGTATACAGACAGGTCAAGCTGCGAGGATATATGACGTTTAACTAATGTGAAGAAAATCGTGTTAAATTATGACATCAAGAATTTGGCCTTACCCAAGATAGGCCATGTACTTGAAAATCTGGATTGGAAGATTGTCAGAAGCATGCTTGAAGTGATCTTCCAAGAAACCGGCGTACGACTTACTATGTATTGCATTAATTAAAAGAGATCGTGTCCTTCAAAGAGAGTAGACTGATATTTCTTTTTGAGGGGTTTATGCAGAGCTTAGGAGTCCTATAAATTCCGCCATTATGGGCCTACATATAGAGTTGCTGATCAGGACGCTCAGATCTAAGAGGGGAGCAGTATTACGAACAAGATCGAGCCGTTAATACAAGCGAAATAGAGGTGGACTATTTCAGATTATTCTAGTAGGTGTTATGAGTTGGGTTAGTTGATAAGATATTATCGTGCTGTAAATTTATAAATAAATATATTTACATAATTTAGAACCGCTCGTTTTATTTAAGTACGCTAAAGTTTCAATACAGATCGAATAATTTGCTTAAAGCATTAAGTTAAAAAATAACAATAGCCAGTATGATTACCAACCTTAGAAGAAGAAGCAGGACATATTGGGCTGGAAAAATCTTATATTTTGAATAATGAATATGAATATATATATATATATATATATATATATATATATATATATATACTTTTTTAGTTCCTGGGTTTGTCAGTCTGTTGTACATAAAAAAACTTAACTATTATTAACTAAGGTTTCCTCCATTTGTCATTTTCAATAAGCATAAACATTACATCATACCTTATTTCTATATAATTATGATGACCTTATGACCTATACAGAATGACCTTATGAACATTTAAAAAAAGTAAAAATCATCGAATATACATACTTTATTTTTGACTACTGTACCATGTTGAGATTCTTTTATATACGTAACCTCTTCTGGGGTGATCAATTTGTTAGTTTCAGGAGTATCTGTGACCACTAGGTAGAAAATTATACAGAAAAGTACATTTTCTAAGCTCACGAAGAAAAATCCCCAATTCCATCCCAAATACGTTGTCACCAATCCCACTACTGGCCAAGTAACGCAGGTTCCTGGAATTGAGTCAAAAGAGTTATTAAAAATATACATATATATATATATACATATATATATATATATATATATATATATATATATATATATATATATATATATATATATGTATATATATATATATATATATAATATATATATATATATATATATCGCGACAACGATCATCGAGGAAAAATAAAAAGGGGATGTTGTCTTGATCCCGCTTATACTGATGATTTTAACAAATAAATATTTTAATAAAAATTTTAATAAATAAATCACAAAGCCAACAGTTGGAAGTTTGCGGAATTAACTGTTTCATGTTTATGCATGAACAAATTATTTGCGTGTCGGAAAACCGGCATCGTTGTACATTTATTTGACGCAAAAAAAAGTATTTGTATCAGAAAGCGGTAAATTGATTCTTCAACTTTTTTCATGCTGTTAATATTTTAGACACATTATTTAATCATATTCTAAGGAATAGCAAAGTTTATGGAATACGCCAATTAAGTGGTGAAATAAAACTGAGGACGTGGGAAACAAAAGTTAATAAAAGGGGAACAGTGTGGCATATAACTGATAAAATAAAGTAAAATATATTTAAGCCAAAATTTGTTTTCTCATTTGTTAAAGTATATTTTCCAGTAATCAGATATTGCATCTTTTAAGACTAGGTCGTTTCTTACAAGTCCATTTCTTGCCTCAACATATGAAATCATATTTGAAATTATTAGCAAATACAATGGTTTTATGCAAACTAAAGGAATAAAATAATTTACCTAAAACATTGCCCATGAGAGCACTTATAAATTTTCCTTTTTCTTGAGGAGGTGCCCAAAAAGCTATTAACACTTGAAGGGAAGGATAAACCAGAGCCTGAAAATAAATGTATGTAGTATAATCAAACAAAAATATACACAACTAGATAATAATTACTAAAGCGTGCATTAACGAATTGTAGGTTCTTTTCATTTTATGTATGGAAGGAAAACTTGGTTTTAAAAGATTTAAAAAAGGACTTAGCTGATACTTTCAATACAGTAACAACTTTAAAGTTTTACATAAGTTATTAGACCAGGGTCGATAATTTTTTAAACCAAACAAAATTATAGTAGAATATAACCTATTGGAAAAGAAAGAGAATATGCTAAAAATGAAAGAAAAACTAAATTCCGCTCCATCCGATGTCGGGAAGTGCCAGGGAGTGAGTTTTTAAGAGTAAAAATCGGTTTATCGCGATTATCGGCGAAACTACAAAGTGCTATGTAAAAAAGTTAAATGGCAAAGTTGTAGGTAACAAAAAGATGTATAACTTTTGTAATTACACTTTTTTCACATAACCTCAAACTTTGTGTGGAAAATTCAAAAAACTTTTGTTTTTTGTTTTTTATTTTTATCTTTTACAAAAAAAAATTACGAAATTTGGTGAAAGCTTGCCTTAGTACATACCAAACATACCGTAATTTTTTGGAATTGAAAAATTTATTTGTTTACCTGATATTGATTTAATATCGAAAAAGCACCCTAATTTTCAATCAAAAATTCACACAAAATATCAGCTTTTTTAAAAAAGTCGGTGGGCTTTTTCTTTTATTGAAATCTCTATTTTCCGATAATGTAAAAAAATATACATTACTATGGCAAATGTCTTTAAAAACCGCAAAAAAAAAAAATTAAATTGAAAAACTTTTTTTCCATCATTATGTACAATTTTGAGATATTTCTTATACATAATACTGTAATTAGTCATATAGCTGAAGATTTCATGACACATTCATAAACAAAAAAATTATAAATCCACAAAACATTAAGATTGCAAAAAGACATGTGAAAATAGCTGTTAAAAATATTCAAGATAGGAGTTAAAGGGAATTTCATCAAAACAATGTGACTGCTATACGATTTTTTTTTACGATTAAAAAGCTGGTTTATTAATGTTTAATTACATTTTTGTCATGGGCAATCTTACAATATATATATATATATATATATATATATATATATATATATATTATATATTATATATATATATATATATATATATATATATATATATATATATATATATTGTAGTGAGAGCAGAAATGCAATAAATTAACATAGAAATATATACAACCAGATATACAATGTTAATTAAAAAATTTATTTAAATAGTAATTAAAGACATAATTTATAAGTTATATATTAGATAATATTATTAAAAAATACTTATATGAGGGTATTTTTAAGAATTTAGCATAAGAGTTAAGTTTAAGAAGTTTTTTTTTTATTTTATTTAATATTTAATATGTTTAGTCATCCATGCGCATATGCAACCAAACATACACTGTAGTGTCAAAGTCAAAAAGTTATTTATTTTTAGAATTTTAATTTAAAATAAAATTACACATGTAAAATAGTAAAAATATATTTCATATAAATGTTTAAGTTACATAAAATAGTGTAGTTCTGATCTGGAGAGCCTAAAGTCAAGTAAATTGTATATAGAGAATTCTAGAAATGTCAATAGGACTATTTACATAATACATCATAGACAAAAAACGATTCCATTTTATTCCAGAATTTTCAAATAGAAAAAATAGAATGATTCGAACATTATTTGTTGCTAGACAATTCTGGAAACAATGAAAAAGATATAAAAAGCCAAGTAATTTGGAGGAGGTCAGTTAGAGTCAGTTATCAGTTAGTTAGTTAGTTAGTTACAGATTATGATTAGTTACAGTAGTGTAAGTGATTCAGGAAAGTTATAATTCAAGAATTTAGTTACAAGAAGATTATTAAGTTAATTATTATTATTATTAAGTCTATTACATGTGATTATTAATTACAAAGAAGAATTAAGAATAATTTATGAGGTTATGAAGAGATTATTAGCTAGAAGAAGGCATTGATTAAGTTAAATGAATTATTAAGTGAAATACAGTTGGAGATTAATTATTACTACAGTAATATAGTGACAGTTTAAAGTTAATTCATTGAAGTAAGCATTCAATAATACAATCACAAGATCCAGTATATTTGAAAGTACATTATATGGAAATTACAAGGATTTAAATTTATATATTTATATGGTGAGTGGAGATAATTAAGAAGGAACATATTAAAATAGTTGGATAACCAAGGCTTAGTAAGAGGATATCGAGTGGTGATAATAACTTTAATTTTGGAAAAAACTTTAGGCGTTCAATGAAAGAAGGTACCAAATTTTGTTAATAATTTAATAATTGTAAGAATTTCAAATTTTAGATAGATTGTTTTAAATTGATATTGCTTATATTAGATAGATCGGTTTGTTTCATAATAGTTATAATAAAGATAATTTAAAAAAGTACTTACAAACTAATTCTTTGAGAACCGCGATAAAAACTCTATACTTACATATATCATTCAAATTTACTCATAGCTCATACAACAACAACACATCATAACATATATATATTATATATATATATATATATATATTATATATATATATATATATATATATATATATATAGTTATATATTATATATTTTATGATGTATATATTTATCATACTATTTTTTTAGGGCATTAATTTTTCTGAGCCGTGACAACTTGAACATAAATTTGTGCATTTCAAACCATGTTTTCGGCAACCACATTTTAAATTGTGACACCCAGTTTCACAGCTGCAGCAAATAGTTTTGAGCAGTATTTCCGGGATCAATTCCTTTTCTGTAAATTGGGGCATAATGCCTCGTTGATGTTGTTTACAGCCCCAATCTGTTGCTGTCAGTTCGTTGCCCAGCCATGTTTGAAGCTGATAATATGCCCTGTAACAATGTTGTTCTGCTGCACCTTCTGTAGGTGAGAGATTTGCCAATACGAAAAATGATTTGATTTTTGCCAATTTTTTTTGGACATCGTAATTTATTTAGCGTTAGCTTATCATTTTTGCACTTATAAATAGATTTGATTAATTGTAATCCATTTTTTGCGATATCTTGTTTATTTGCATCTTTTTCACAAAAAATGTTAGCCAAACTTGACAAATTTTTAGCGTCTAATAATGAATTTACGATACTTTTCTTTCCTTTCCCGGTAAATCCAAATGTTGTATCGCAACCACAGTGTTAATTTTAATAAATATCTCAAAATTGTACATAATGATGAAAGAAAATTTTTCGATTCGAGTTTTCTTCGTTTTTGCGTTTTTGGAGAACATTTCCCATAGTAATGTATATTTTTTTTTGACACAATCGGAAAGCAGAGATTTCAACGAATAAAAAACCCGTTGACTTTTTTAAAAAAGCTGATATTTTGACGCGTGAATTTTCGATTGAAAATTAGGGTGCTTTTTCGATATTAAATCAATATCAGGTAAAAAAATTAATTTTTTAATTCCAAAAAATTACAGTGTATTTGGTACATACTAAGGCAAGTTTTTACCAAATTTTGTAAAAAAAAAATTTTGTAAAAGAATAAAAAATCAAAATCTTAGTTTTTTGAATTTTTTACAAAAATTTTGAGGTTATGTGAAAAAAGTGTAAATATAAAAGTTGGAGATGTTTTTGTTACCTACAACTTTGCTATTTAAATTTTTTCCATAGCACTTGTATTTTCGCCGAAAATCGCGATAAACCGATTTTTACGCTTAAAAACTCACCCCTCCCACTTCCCGACCTCGGATGGAGTGGAATTTATTTTTACTTCCATTTCCATTTAACTTTTTCCTTTTTTAAAAGCTTCGACACTTCGACACGAATAATTAAAAACAAGTACGTGTGACGTGAAAAATAAAACTATTGCAATACTTTTGTGAATGCTGATAAAATATTTGGCATCAATAACATAGTTTGCAGTATACGATTATTAAAAAAAAACAAAAGCTGTTTTTATAAAATTAAACAAACTTTAAATGCGAATTTTAAAGTAAAATTAATTTAAAATATAAATTTTTATTTTTTTTTATTTCGAACATATGTGTCTCAACAGTTAATGGTCATTGACACAGGTACAATTTACATTTATGTTTACATGGTTAATACTTTACATGGAGTACAAATTAGTTACAATACACTTTTTTAATACATTTTGTTTTAAATTGAATTGTATAACTTTGTTGACAACACTAGGTAGTGTTGACAGTCAAGAAGTACGTGTGCTACGGAAGTCGTGGTGTTGCAATACTGGCACAAAATCGGATTACTGGAATTCATTAGGTGTCCATGTGTAAGGCGTGTGTGCCCTATTCTCAATCTTCGAACGATAGATTTGTCCTTTCTTTTCATTGGTGAGAGCTTGTGGTAGAAAATGTTTGGTTGTAGAACGCATAACTTGGTATTGATTCTTTTCCATTGATCATTCCAAAGGTCCAATATTTTATGTTTGATTGTTCTTTTTAGATCTGATGATGTTTGAATGTCTGTTGTAACGTTAAGAGAACATGCTTGTTTTGCTGCTTGATCGGCTTTTTCGTTACCTGGAATACCAACGTGTGATGGGACCCACAATATCGTTACTGCTATTCCATTAGTTTGAAGACGATTACATATGCTCTGGATTTCTTGAACTATTGGGTGGATAAAATATACGTTTCTTATGGACTGCATGGAGGACAGAGAGTCTGTACAGATTGCTATAGTTTTATCATCATTGAGTGGAGTTTTCACCACCTGTAGTATTCCATATAGTTCAGCAGTATAAATACTGCAATTGCTGGAGAGTCGAAACAAGCTGACGGTGGTTGTAGTCGTTGTAACAGCACAACCAACACCTTCTTCAGTGTTAGATGCGTCTGAGTAAAGGATCTTGTCGAAGTTGCATTGATGTAGTATTTCATAGAATCTTTGTTTGATAATGGAAGGTGATATTTCATTCTTATTATATTTGGATAATTCGATATTAAAATTTGG